TATTTCTGCCATTGGACAGGAATTAATCAAAACAAATTATAAAAGACATAAAATAGAGCTTGAATTTTTTATTTTGTGAAATTTTCCACGCATTTCTTGTCAATTTTTTCTTATATTAATTATTTAATTCAGTATCCGCGCAGTTCAGATATATTTTGAGATCATCGCAACCTGTCTGCAGGCAGCTCAATTGCCTGAGCAGGCGAGAACAGTCCGCCTTCAAGATTTCGCCATTTTCCGAACTCTTATGAGTTTTCTGGAACGAAAATGGTAAATTTTACATAAATTTCTCAATGTTTTGCCATTTTTACACCGCTATGACCTACTCACGTTTGTGTATTCTTGTAATTTCCTAGAGCTTTTTAGGTTTTGGCCAATCGACGGACATATTTATAGATTTAGAAGACTCGGACAAGCGAAAGCAAATCGAAGTACGAAACGAAGAAGGGCGCAAAGAGAAATTGCTCTTATATTATGATGGAGAAACTGTCAAGGGAAAGGTATGTCCCAGGTTTAAACTGGGCTTTAAAAAGCTGCTATATATAGCTAGATTTTTGCTATGATCCTGGCATAATACTTCTTAAATTTACGCTTAAATTGACCTGTTAAATCTAAGCTCAAACCGTCAGTGTTAATATAAGGTCTTTTATTTGCAGTAGCGTTCGAAAATAGCGCTGCATTTTATTAAATTACGAGTATTTAAATGCATTTTAAATGCATAAACTGGTTGCACATGTACTGTTTACGTGTTCAAGGCATATAATTCGTCTTTATTTGAGGTGCAGTGTTGAAATTTGTGGATTTTTTGCAGTCACATGACTAGTATTGCACTGTGATATTATTAAATTTAAAACGATCAACTTTGCAAATCGGTATTTAAATATACTGATTTCGAAAGTAAAAGCTTAAAATGTGGTAGTTTAAATAAATCCATTTAGAAAAAGGGGTTTTATATCATGATGGTTAATGGATTTATTTCAAAGGATGTTTGAAATGATTTGACGATACTTGCTTCTGCACAACAGGAAGTGATTGCCATTCTAATTTGTATCGAGTAGTTCCTGTAATAATATGGGCCTGTTTGTGTGAGGAGAATTCACAGACATGCTTTACGTAGCGTGATCGCCAACGTTAGCATCTAAAAATGAACTGTGCTTATCCTAAATAGTACTCCGGTGTGATGCAGGATCCTTATAGCCAAAACCGTGGATGTTTCCTCTCGCCCGAAAAAAGTAATACATTCAGGAATGCCAGTACATTCCTATACCTATAATTGCTAAAATGTGAAACTATGTTTAGTTATATATGTCAATTTAAATTCTTGCATACCAATCAGAATGTTTTCGTCGCAATTCCAATTATATAAATGTCAATTTCACTACATTAGGAATATGCATGGTCGCAGTCCTCGATGTTTTGATGTGAAAACATTGTACTTTTTTCGTGAAATGTTTTCTTATTCTGAATAATGATAACTGCATGCACCCATTAGCAACATCATCACTCAATGCATTTGGTAATTTGTGTTTTGATAGTTGTTTTTTATAGCTACAGTATTGTAAGCCTTTAAGTGGCATTGTGCCCTGATGGACCGTTCTTTATTATTTTACTTTGTTTAATGCCAGACAACTTTACTTGTCAGGGGGAGAGTGCTGGCACTTAATAGGATAATTTTGTGTTTGTGAGACAGGAGCTCTGCCAAAGCTCTAGCGGTTTTTGATCAGCCAGAGTTGCGGTGCTTTCTCCCAGAATGACAAGAAATGTGACATTTTCGTAGAGTTACTGTGTCGGTTACAAATAATGACAACGTGAATATGTTGAAAGTACATATAATCTGAAGTCATATCTGTTGTGTCAAACCATGTCCAATGCTGCTTCACATCATCTTACTGTACCTTCGGGAAAAAATCGAGTCGAATTATATAGTACCCATTATCCGGTTATAGACTTTATCCCCTGTGTCGTGAACCAGTTAACCCATTAAGCGCCGGCGCTCTCCCCTTGACGAGTAAAATCATCTGGCGTTAGACGGAGTAAAATACTAAAGTAGGGTGCATCGGGGTGCAATGCGACTCAATGGGTTAACATAGCCAGGGGGCAGACATTTCAGCTGTGAAGCAGCTGGAACCTGTGCCATAAAATTTGCACAGCACTATAAGAACTGTATACTGGCATTATGCCCTATTTTGTTATTTTACTCTGTCTAATGCCAGACGATTTTCAGTTTAAGCTCTCTTACTGAACGTTAGTGATACTTGCCTTGCATTTCTTGTCAGTGGTTAAATGAACATGTGTTTCGTTTTCTAAGGTGAAAGTGAATCTAAAAAATCCCGGTAAAAAACTTGAACATCATGGGATAAAAATAGAATTGGTCGGTCAAATAGGTAAGAATATAGAATGTTTTTTGGGCATCCACATTTGATATAACTACGACCCTGTTAAGTTTACACTGTACCGGATTCGCTGGTCTCAAATCTTTGTTTGCTGCCCAGTAGCAACGTTTACTGCGGATTCAGGTAGACCGTGAAATGCGAATAGTTGTCGCGTTAGTTTTAACAGTTGTACGATGACGTTTCTAGGCAGATTTTCGACGTTTCTAAGGCGTGGCTTCAACGTTTATTTTTAAAAATTGAACGTAATTACAAGGTAATTGCCAGATAGTATACTTCAAACTAAGGTTTCCGTTTTTATATCAATTTTTTAAATAAGTTAGGGTTAGGTTAGGGTTTAGTTTTGCGTTAGGATATTTTTTCTACGTTATAAAAACGTTAACCTTATTTTGAAGTATACTATTTAGCAATTACCTTGTAATTACAACGTTCAAATTTTAAAAATAAACGTTGAAGCCACGCCTTAGAAACGTCGAAAATCTGCCTAGAAACGTCATCGTACAACTGTTAAAACTAACGCGACAACTATTCGCATTTCACGGTCTACCTGAATCCGCAGTAAGATAACTTCTGTATGTTCTTTCTACTTGTTTGACTGTTAAAACTGATATTGTGACCAGCGACTCCAGTACAGTGTAAATAGGGCCTAATTTGTGAAGGCTGCTACCATTAGCATCCATGGACCATTTGCATTATAGACTAAATCTTGATCTAGACAAAAATTTCATCACAGCTTGAAAGAGCATCACAAAATTGGTAATATTCCAAAGTTTCATTGCGAAATGTTGTAAAATGCAGATAATATAGCCTTGCGAAATTTGCAATTTTCAGTCATTTTGTATTACAAACGGGAAATTGATGCCCCAACACTCGATTGGGCTGTCAATTTCCCGTGCATAATGCAGAATGACTGAAAAACGGCAAACTTCGCAAGGCTATATTATCCGCATTTTACAACATTTTGTAACAAAACTTTGGAATATTATTTATTTTGTGATGCTCTTTCAAGTTGTGATGAAATTTTTGTCTAGATCAAATTTTAGTCTATAATGCAAATGGTCCATTGTAGATGGAAATTTTGAAATGTCTAACCAACTGAGCTACAGAGGCCAGTTGTTGAGCTCTAACTGCAAGTTCATTGATGTAACTATGTACTAAGGTGATCAATGCCAGTGTGATGTTTATGGGTATTTGGGCATATCTGTCGATATAAGTAATTTGTAGAAGAGTTTTGCAATTTCCATTTACAAATTTTTCTTCTACTTCATCTTCTGTCAACCCATTTTATCAAGCAGTAATTTGCACATATTCGATCATGCTGTATTTTAGAATTATTTTATGACCGTGGCAACCATCATGAGTTCACGTCATTGGTCAAAGAACTCGCTCGAGCAGGAGTCATGACAGAAAACTCGACGTTTGACTTTGAGTTTTTGAATGTTGAGAAACCTTACGAAACATACACTGGCACGAATGTCAGGCTAAGGTAATCTTCAGCTCATTCTTAATTAATGTCCAGCCAGATCACATATGATGAAAAAAATGAACTTATTACATCAATTGAAATTGTTGTAGGTATTTCTTGAAAGTTACGATAAGTCGACGGCTGTCAGACATGACAAAAGAAATAGAAGTTGGAGTCCATACACTGGCGTCGTATCCAGAAATAAATACAAGGTGGTGTATTCAATGTGCTATAATTGTAATAATAATAATCCATGCTGCATCCATTTGATGCATTACTTCAATGCCCAAAAATTGTGAGCAGTGGCCGGCCAGCACCCTTCCTGCCCCCTCCCCCTTGTGTCTGCCACTGATAAAATGGCTTCAATGTTTAACGTGTGTTATGTAATTATTTTAGCATTAAAATGGAAGTGGGCATTGAGGATTGTCTTCATATTGAATTTGAATATAACAAATCCAAGTAAGTTTGGGTTCTACATCTGGCCAAACGAAAAACATGGTTGTTCCTGTTCTGTATCTCGAGAAAAAAATGAAAAATTATTTTGCTTGACATTGGTCAGCAATGACAATGAGTGTGATCAGATTAATGAGCTAGCGCCAGGGACCTCTATACAGGGTGTCTAAAAAAGTGACCTTTACGACTAACAAGAACAAGAATAGTGGTGTGACTTGTCGTGCCTCCTGCGTCACAACGTGCCCCCTGTGTCACAACATGCCCCCTGTGTCACAACGTGCCCCCTGTGTCACAACGCGCTCATGGAGCAGACTATGCACCTAAGCACTACAGCATGAAAAAGGTGGTGAGAACTTTAGTCATTCGGCCTAGTATAGGAACCAGGCCATTGACATGCAATAGCTATGAAGGTTGCAAGCAGTTTTAATAAAATTTCTCCTAACTATTCCAGTTTTTAAAACGATAGTATTATGAACTGATATGTAATAGTGATCGAAAGCTCCCTGACCAGGGTTGGAAAAAATAGGCGAGCACTGCTCGCAGGAAATGTTAAACAGAAAATTTGTTTGAATGAAGATTTGCTATTGAAAATTTGAAGGAAACCTTAACATCCATGTCACACTATGGGCGCAACAACATATGGTTGACAGACATTATTCCTTGAATTTAAAACCATGGTCAACTAAAACACTATATGTTTCTGCTCATACAGATTTAGCACAAAAACACTCTGTTAGCCTGCAGGAAATTTTTGTCTCCCGGTTGTGCTTCCAGGAAGAAAATTATTATACCCTGCCTTGGCTCCCTCAATAAGCTATGTAGCTTTTGGAGCAATCATACTCAATAAAGTATTGTTTATATAAAAAAACCCAAAGACAACCAAAACATTACAACTCTTATTTCTAGGTACCATTTGAAAGACGTCATCGTTGGAAAAATATACTTCCTTCTCGTTCGAATTAAAATCAAACACATGGAGGTCGCCATTATTAAACGAGAAACAACAGGAACTGGTAATGAGAAATGCATTGTTTAGAAACAAAGTTTCTGTAGAAGTATCGAAAAATTAAGGATCTTCAGTTTGCATTTATCCCAGTATTCACAAGATACTGATTATTTAGTTTTCGGTACCCAACTTGTCTCCCAAACGGGTAGTACAAAATTTGGCACATTAGGACATTATTTGTTAAATGTCTTCAGTGGTTCCCCAATAGCTTTTGAACATACTATGAGTATGTCACTTTTGAAAGAAACAACCTTTGATTTCCACTCAATGTCTGAAAATTGTCTGAATCAAATAAAAAAATGACTGAAAATTTTGCAAGAATATAGATCCCTGAAAAAAAATCTGGGAACTAGGTTCCGTTTTCCACCTCGGCTTATGGTAATCATTGTCCTGAAATGGGACACCAGATTCTCAGAACTTTGAATCCTAGTATGCCAGTTGAATTTTGAGAAGTAGTCAATTGTTGTTATCAAATTCATTTAGGTCCTAATTCTTACAACGAAAGTGAAACAATTGCGAAATACGAAATCATGGATGGCGCTCCCGTTCGAGGTAACTACGTCAGTAGAGCTAGAATAATTTCGTACTATTTGCAAGCGTTAACCTGTTGAATTTTACTCTCTTAAACAGTTGTCATAAAGGGGGTTGGAAAGTTTTGAAATAGGGGGTATATTGGTCAAAGGGGAGGACAATTTATATACAGGGGGGTAAGACCTCTTTCTAAAGTATGTTAACTCTGAAGGATGTAATTGTTGGTAAAACCATGGATAGTAAAATACATAGATAGGAAACTAGCTGACGTGACCTGATGTTTTCAATTGGATGATGGCGTTGAAACCTAGTTGCAAACCAAATTTTCAAAAATGGCATGTTTAGCAATAATACAGCTAAACATTTTAGTCAAAGAGCAAATAAATATAACTATAGGCCATTCTACGATGAAATCTCTAAGTATTCCCGTCAATTTTAGCAAATATTTCAAGCACTAAACAGTGAAAAATGCATCGCAAATTTCGTAAAAATGCTACAAATGTAAAAAAAATACAAAACAAAGACGAAAAACATTCACTTTGAACACTTCGTAATGGCTTAGGCATGTTTTTAAAACAATTAGATCAGTTTATGCTTCAATATTACTCTTTTAAAGCGGAAAATATGGCGAAACAACAAAAATGCTGAGAACTTTGGCAATACACATGACGTCACAGATTGCAACTAGGTTTAGACTGTGACGTCAGGAAGTTTCCTATGTCGTAGTTAAGTAAAGAAGCATAGCGGGACAAACTCACAAAGCCAAGTGTGTTTGAAAAATTTCGAACAAGCTTGGAACAGATACTAACATGAAGTAACGTAAACTCAAAGGTTTTCCAGAGGAACGTTTTCTCGACC